TATTGGCTAGCACTCCAACACATTGTACGTGATAGACTAAGGAGCGAGACATCTCTTAGTGGTTAACCAATCACAACAGAGGCCAGCTAATCAGAGCAGACTGGGCTCTGGCTTCAGACAGAGGGTGAAAAGAGGTGTATGAGAAGAATAAAGAGCTTTTTGAGAAGAAGGATAAAGAGCTTTTTGAACATTAAAGCTTGGAGACATGTCACTGTAGAGACACTAAATATAAATATAAACCTGAACATGACCATAATGTGGACCCTTTAACCCAGATTAGCAACCATGTATAACCATTAATTGTAATTTAGGAACTATTCACAACAGCAGCATTGTTACTGTCACTCCCTAGGTAAAACCCTGCCAAAAACTCACACAAACACGCACACACACACATGCGCGCGCACACACACACACACACACACACACACACACACACACACACACACACACACACACACACACACACACACACACACACACACACTAAAATGTTTAAACCATTTTTGGGATTAGCAAGCCTGCAGGCTAGTGTTGGGTGAAAGATGAATAAAAATGTCTTCAATATTTGCATTGCTGTCACTGTGTAGCCATTAGTTATTATTTAGAATGTACTGGTGTACTTTAGATCCATCAACACAAAAATAAACCATATTAAGAAACCATATTTAGCATTATTTTCATGTCATGTTGACTCTTGTGCTGATTACACTAATTACTACCCTAATTCTGTTCTCTTTGTAGTAATTGCAGTCATTACCATCTCATGAGGATAAAGACATGTATTTCTAATAAATGTTACTCTTAAGTTCTTTATTTGATTTAGCTCTCAGGGTCATTTACAACGCCGCCAATCATCCTGGCGGGAGATGAGAAACAACATCTTAATGATGTTTACATAGCAGTGTCTGGATGATGTATTCAGTCCCACTGACTCATGGCAAAATGGCATTCCAGCCAGATGCAACACCAACTCTGAAATGAATCACACAATTATAGTGACGATTCATCACCCGCATTATAATTAAGGCTTTGCTACGTTAAAATACAACTTAGGGCAACATGGCTTAAAGGTGGGGTAGGTCGTTTGGAGAAACCAGCTCGAGTGCGCTAGAATTTGAAAATACACAGCCAGAAAAAATCTGCCTCTTCCTTACAGAGCCCCTCCTCCAACACACACGAATACGCACATGACCAATGAGGACACGAGATAAGTTTGTGCACAGATGGAAGGCTGACAGGCAGGTAGGCCATCCAGTTATTTTAGCCGGGCCGGCTAAAATGATTGGTCGTGCTTTTTACAGTACTACGACTTCCACAGATGACGTTTTTTTATGGATTTTTTGTCAAAGCACTTAAGATATTCATTGCTATCGGGATGTTAAGAGCATTCCATGGAATATAACAAAAAGTGTATCTCGAGCCGGTTTCTCAAACTTACCTACCCCACCTTTAATGTATTCAAAGCTTCTATATGGAGCATTTTACATTGTAGTTGACAGAGTATTGCATTTCCTGTCTTTCTAGTCTCCGAGAGTTTATACATGTGTGACTGATGCTAGACAGATAAAGGCCGAGTGTGTGAAACCCAATAGGAGGTGTGTGGCTCAATGACACTACTACTGTGGCAGTGACAGTAACTGAAGCCTCTATTCTACCTGGTGACATGGTAGCTGGAACTCATTGCGGTAACGGTCTATATGTTGGTGGAAACCCAAGGGCTTGACGTGCTGCTAGGCAACATCATGACAAATCTATTGGTTAAGTGTACTGTAGGTGTTTCGTGTCCATGGTGATGTTTCATAGTGGGGGGTTTTAATAATGACACTGGTAAAAGCAGCATCAGGTTGCTCAGCTGATATTTTGTGACTATTTCCTTATTGTTGCTTAAGTTGTAGCAGCCTAAAATAAAAAGCTCATCTGCCATTTAGATTTTCTTTTTATATTTACCCTTACATTGTCTTTATGTTGGAAATTGTGTTGTCTAGCAGAAGATTGGCTTTAGAGGGGAATTTAGAAAATCTCACAGATTACATTCTGCCCGGAATGGTCAAATGCACCCATTTTTTATGTTAACAGCACATTTAATGGCTGTTATGAGTTGATTTAACTACACATTATATTGCTTCAGACAGAGAAAAATGGGCAAGCTGCACTTATATTGCAAAAGTGAATTTGAAAATGAATGGTCACAGTTGTTAAAAGGTGATAAACATTGGGAATCGAAACAGAAGACCTGTTTTCAGGTTAAGGCAACACAAATTATTATATGTTTTTATGATACTTATCTTACTGATGTTAAGTATTTCTTTGTTGATTATGCTACATAACTTAAAGTATATTAACGTGTCAAGTTTTGGTGTCAGACAAGACACTGACAGCGGTCTATAGGTGAAGGTCCAGTGTCTATTTGTGCCATCCATCTACCCTGAGGGAGGGACAGGTAAGAAGAAAGAAAAGAGGAGGCAGGGAGAGGAAAATTAAGAGAAGAGAAGAGAAGGGAGCAGGAGAGGAGATGGCTAAAGATCAAACTGATGACAAAAACATTCGGTACCACTTTACAATAAGACTACCCTTATAACGGGTTCACGAATAGTTTTTAATTCATTTATTAATTAGGTTGTGAACACTTTATAAATCATTAATAAGCATTTGTAAGACGTGAGATAAAAAGGGTAACTGTGACCGGTTGTTTGCCAAATAGTGAGCCCACATGTATCTGTACTGCTAAGCCTTATATTGGCTACTTAGCTTACTTCGTCTTCTTCATCAGCCAGTATCCTTGGTATCTGTTGTTCACTGAGTTGATTCTCCCCCTTCCATCTTGATGTTTCTTGTCATCTCTTATGACCATTTATGAATGAGTTATCAACATTTATAAATGCCAAAAGGGAGCCTTATTGTAAAGTGTAAAACACATTCCCATTTATTAATGAGTTACTACCATTTATAATTGGTTGTTTTTAAGTTTAATACACATGTCAATCTATGAATGAGTTATAACATTCACGCTTACCTAATGCACATTTTTACATGAAATGCAAAGTAAAATGCAACAGAACCAAGCAAAACATGTTATTCACACATGAAGTAATGACTGTTTAGTATGACAGATACACATATTTAAACATAAAAGCTTTTCTCAGACATAAATGAAAGATTTGGTAAGAAATAATTGTACTCAGACTGGAAAGGCTTTGTGTATATCCTTGAACAAGCGTCCAAGCAGTCCATCAGGGTGAGCAGAGCCAAGCCAAGATGACCATTCAAGAACCTTGAGGTGTTCCTCCGACAAACTCTCTGTGCGGTTTCCTCTCAGTCGACGGACATGTCATTTGACGGTCGACCAAGCTCTTTCATTATGTTGGGTATGACTGCCGTCTGGGGGTTCACAAACCACCTTCTGTGGTTTATGGTGTAGTGGTTGTACCCCATGTTACTCAGCACTCTCCTGTATGCCCTCCACTCATCACTCATAATCAGTGTTGGGCAAGTTACTTCCAAAATGTAATATATTACATATTACTTATTACTGTCTTTTGAAAGTAATAAGTTACATTACAATATTACTGTCTCTGAAATGTAATGAGTTACACTACTTTTTAGTTACTTTTTAGTTACTTTCACAAAAAGAGAAAAAGAATGGCTATGTATTTTAAATGCTAAAATGTAGTTTAGTGCAGCTCATTATGCATCCAGTGAAGGGCGATGTGGTATAGCATAAGAACTGTGTAGGCCCTTAAGGCTACTANTAACTCCCATCATTCCGAAGACCCGTTTCTTCCTTCTCCAGGTATGCCCAAAGCGTCCACGTGCATACTAACAACATCATAACATTATCTTAGTTAACAACAAAATGCACACAAATGACAGTAACAATTGTTGCACATCATGTTTCAAAATGCCATACTTATTAGGGGCATTGTATAACATCATTTAAGGATAATTATACAGTAATGGTCCATATTGATTTTTTTTATTTTCTTGTACAAGAAAGCCCAGTCCATAACTGCCGAACATAGGAACTGGGTACAGTACCTTCTCCCAGACACAAATAAAATAGTTTACTTTATCAGTATTGGTGTTACCGATGCTTACTATTTATTTGATACCAATTTT